GCATACGAAGTACATATATATATGTACACATGTGCTTCACACATGAATATATAACAAGGTGCATTTGCGGATTTTTTAAACATGTGGCGTTCTCCCATGCTATCAAACCTGGGTTGGTTGGATATCAATTGCAATCGAAAAAGAAAGAAAAGAAAGATGTTATCCGATCGCTTAATTAAAATGCGCTCAGTCATGTCAATCTAATCTTAGTTCTTTTCCCTTTAATGAATATATCGTCGAATATTTTGTTTTAACGAAACGCCGCGGGGTCGCTTTTTTAATTAACATTTGGTTTTGATGTACGTGCGATTTAAAATCACCTGATAAGTCGCGTTAATAGATCGAATGGATACCGATTTTCTGCGCGCGCCATTATGTGTATGTACTAGAAACCGGTATAATCAGCGACGCGTAATGCCGAACAACTCTGATAACATAGCGCTCCGCTAATTACAAATGACCTATAATCGGATCTCGCAGTTTACCTATGGCTGTATTTTTCCAAGGGTGGAACATTTTTCCCCGGCTAACCCTTTTGCGCACCTCTTCTCGAGCACGTCTTCTCGAATAAATAAAGTTTATCTCGTTGAGATGATAATAAGATTAGCAATTGATTAATTAACGTTAATTTACGCCGCATCGACCTCGCGTGATCGACTCGTCGCGCATTATAAATCTTGTGAATTTTACGCACGAATACGTCGTCGTCATCGAAATCGAGTCTCATTTTAGCATAACAATGCTAATATTTTCTCTCTCTCTCTCTCGTTTTCTCTTTGAAATAATTCTTTCAGAATCCTGGTGTATAACAATCACGGTAGGATACACCCGAATGCGCAGATGGGTTATTTTTGCATTCCCACTGTTCTTACTTGCATGCATATCGAAGATGCAGGAGATGCAGGGAAAAATTTCGGTGAAATGCATACGTAAGAAAAAGAAAACTCAAGTGAAACAATCGAGCGATTTCGCCGGCAGAATTAAAACTCGATCATCATCACGCGCGGAATAATTTGTAAAATCGAGAAAAAACTCTCAAGTCGGTTTTTCGCTTTTCATCGAAAAATCTTTCATAGTGTTTTAAATTTTAATATTCACTCTTGTTTTGCCATTAAGTCTAAAAGTGAAATTTATATCATTACCTCATATTATATTTCTTAAAAATGTACTTTATATGATAAATGACGATCATATAATGTTAATATCATTCAACTATGGCTAGCACAAGATTCTATATTTTTAATAAAATCTTATCTAACTCTTATCATCTTCAATTAAAAATTCATATCCTCGATATTATGGAAAGTGACTTGTATAAGATAACGAAAAGTTTATAATGTGAAAAGGGATTTCCAGGCAATAACGCCTACGTTAAAAGCAAAAGATAACGAAAGACGAGCTTCATTCCACGATCATGAGAGAATGCAATGTGAATGACAATTGTTGTTTGTTGTAATGCTATTTATTTACGTTTAGACAATCGCGTGAGAATCAAAATATCTTCATTAACTTTACTTAATGTAACTTTTTTTACAGCGCCTACTTTCCGGTCTTTGTTATAAAACAATGTAGTTTCTTTTAATTATAATTCTCATAAATATATATATAATATATATGTATTAAACTTGTACTTATATTAATCTAAAAGGAGATTGTAGATATTAAGAGGAAAATTAATGTGATTATTCGAGTGTGTTAATTTCATCGTTAATTAGTGAAACAAATAATTGCAAACATGATTTAGTGTTTGTTTTCAAATTAATTTGATTCAATTTTTAACCTGCATTAATATTTTGCAAGTTATGTGATAAATTTTATTTGTCACACTGCCTTGACTACATAACATAGAAAAATGATTTAAATCATTAAACGATTAAATCTTCATCTGTGATTGGACACACTTTCTTGCACACTTATAGTTAGAAATTAAGTAGTATTTTTCAATTTTCACGCATTAATTTCTACGTTTGTAAACAATTTTTTACATGGAGCTGCAATTAACATCGCGATGTTGGCGAAAGTGATTCACTCAAGAAACATATCGCCATTTAAAATAGCGCCATTCTCCCATCAATGACTAATCGCTTGTCTTGACAGAAACAATTACTCGTGATGGCATAATTGCATTCAATACGCGAAATGTTTCTTTCCTCAAGTTGCGTAATTTTAAGTACAAAAGCATGTCATTTAGTACTTTCTTCTCCTCTACAACACTTGTACTACTTTTTTCTTTTATTTTCCCAGAGAATGCATGTAAAAATCTTCTATAAACAAATACTGCATCAAAATAAAACAGATACATAAGCACGTGTCGTTTTTCCTTGTTAGTTTAACAAATAAAACAAGAAAAAAAACAAGAGCATGTATTGGAATAAATACAGGGTTCCAAGGATCGAAAAAAAAATCCCGTTGTTACAAAATAAAATATATTAACACGGGTGAAACGAACTCGGTAACTCACATTATGCAAATAATCTCATTAAATCGAGCGTTTGGATAATAGCGACCATTATATTGTTACTCTTTCAACGACTGTGGTATAAGCAAATAATCCCGTAGTAGTGAGACGCGTTTATGCGATCGGCACACAGTGTTTTTATCCCGCGCCAATTAAATCGCGAGCAACAATTAACGCTATAACAATTAACGTTGCATTCCACGCGGTACACATTTTCGCACCCATCCACACTCTCTTTCTACCTTCCCTCGATTCCTCTTTTTTTTATTATACTTCCTCCATTCGATTATTACGCCGATCGGAACTGCACTGCGCATCGTTCCGCTGACTGATCGCTATGCACGATCGCCATCGCGTGTGCGTTGGCGAGAGTACCGCTATGCACAGCACGATGCATACAAGGACCATTCTCCTGTTGTGCCTAACAGTCGGATGAGTCAGTCGGTCAGTCGGTGAATATACTGTTCGCGTAATTTTAGATCGCCGATGGCGAATTCTCCCCGATACACGCGGCTAGAACCGCGAAGGTGTTCCCCGATGGAACCCCGCAACTTATTCCCACAATGCTGCTCAGGAATCTTGCTCGACGGATGTAATAGAAAGTAACCTCCTTTACATCTCGAGGATCTTTTTGCGCCGCGGCGCGATAATCAAAATTATTCCACGTTATCGGATTTTGCATTATTTATATTCGCGTTATTTTTTTGATTTTTTATATTTTTTTTTTTCTTTTTTTTTTTTTTTAGATATGAACTTTGAGAATTAACGTATTTTCGAATTTTAACGCGTGTTTTTGATAAAAATGTTAAAATGATAGGTGTAACAGCTGTTACAAATCTCGAAAGAAGCGAGAGAAAGAACACAGGGTGTCTAGCGGTCAGGGAAATCTGGTAAACCAGGCATTGTCAGAGAATTTGATAAATCTGGAATTGTCAGTGAAAAATCAGGAAATTTTACTATTTATCTGGATTTTTTCACATTATTCTATTATTTGTCTGAATTTGAAATTTTTTATTAAATAAATATAAATTTTTTCTTGACTCCCAGCACGCTAATTTTCTGTGTTGTCAAAAATTGATTCATCTACAGCGTGTTCGTTAATTTATATTTTCACCGTCGTGTTATTTTATTTCAATATGTTTGATAGACACAAAACTAAAAAATTTGATATAATATAAATAAAAGAGCTTACATAGTTTATAGTCACATGTTTGTTTCGATTTTCATACATAATGCAGATTATATAATTGAATTAAATTTTTCTTTTAACCTAGGTAACAAGCTGACGTCATTTTGACGTTTAATTACGTTAGCTTGCTACCTGGTAACTTCCGAACCCTTTCATTGTTGACAAAAATATCTCAAGGATTTCATGATTTAACATTTATTTGATTTATCATATAGATATATGCAAATTATATATTTGGAAAAAATAATACTAAAAGGTCAGGAAAAAAATTAATTTCTGGTCCTGGAAAATCTGAAAAAGTCGGGGAATTTTTTTCATTAAGTCTGCTGGACACTCTGTGTGTGCGAATAAGAGCTATCTTTTTAAATGATATGCGTTTTTTTCATATTATTTGTGACGAGCAAACTCATTGCCTACATTCATTCGCGGTTGCATCAATATTACATTAAAAACGACGATAATTGATAGATAACAACTGCAATTTGTATAACGAGCATCGTTTTTGTCGTTCTTGTACGTAACTGTAACGTACGCATTCCTCTGATAAATAAATAAACGACCGTGAGCTTTAATTGTACATATTACATTCATCGTGGTTTACGTACTTCAGATGAAAGCGCAAGAACAAGTCACGTAACCTGTTGCACCTCAACCTCTTTACCTTGAGTTTAAATTTACCTACTTCAAGATTACGTCGTAAATATAAACGTGTACATAATACAGATATTTTATTATCTGATACTTTATAAAAGTTTTGTGAAGATTTTTTGTCTTAATAATTCCCAAAATTCAAAACAGATTTTTATAAAATATACAAAATCAATTTAATCAAAATTTCTTTGAATAATTAACTAGATTCTAACATCATATATTACATGATTAAAACGTTTGATTGATCTCGACGTTATAACTCAAATCGTACATACTACATATAGTTATGAAATATTTGATTGATCTTGACGTTTATATGAACTCACATAAATCCATTTCAACATTGTTCCATAACAATAAGTGACAGAAGTCGTATCACGGCTTCGTACGAGCCATAACATAAATATTTTAAGACTAGCATCTAGCTCGAAAAAAATATTCGAGAACGAGTATCTCGCTTATCCTTTAAATTCGCGCGAGTTGTTAGAAAAAAGTCACGGCTAACGAATTTAGAGCGCGGAAGAAGATGGATTAAAGATCGCGCGGTCAATGGAAAGACTGAGGATGTTTTTCCCTCTTTCTCTCTCACGCACACACTCTCTTTCTCTCCTTCTTCTTCTGCGAGGAAGTCGATGAAAGTGTAACAGCGTAGATTTCCTAGGCCAAGGCGACTGGATGTTAGTGTTGCTGCAGGAATCGGCGAAGACGCTCCTCGAATCACGCTCTCAATGAATGCTCTCGAGGTCAGCAAGTTAAAGGAGGTGGTGTACCTAAGAATCGCGGTGTGTATCTAAGAATGTCAGGGAAAGGTAAAAAGAAAGATCGTGTGGAGGGAAACGACGGTGCCGCGTCTGATAAGAGACAGTCGTCAGTACTTGCTCGGTCGCCGAAGTGGATCTTCTTCGTTGCACGGGAAACTTGGAGTAGTATACCGTGTGTAGACCTTGAATGAAGTTTTTTGTGTCCAGTTCTTGTATCCCGAAGGGAATTGTTCGGTGGTAGAACCGAAGGGAGGAAGAATGATTGGACTGGCGCGATAATAATAAACTCGGGGGCAAAAGCTCGGGATTATCGACGTAGCGCGATTTTTACTCGTAAAACAATCGTGTAACGTAATAAAGCGGACCGTGCAAATTCTATGGACATTCATGAAAGCATTCTTTCGAGGTACGCCACGTTGATTTATTATAATTAAGTCGCGAAACCCTGCGGATCAACGTTATTAAATTCCAGGGAGCTGAATGCAACGCCTGTGCATCTCCAAAGATCGCCCTTTACATCGTATACGGGAAGACTTTGTTCGGATGACAAAAATCATCTATACATGTGGTTGTCCTTGCTCGATCTACTTTTTACCTTAAGCGAATGTTGAAGAGTAGGGGACAGGGTGAAAGAGCAATATCGCGGAAACGTTAATTGATCTATCGACGATCGGGTTTCGCAGGATTTCTCAGATTGCCTCGGCGAGATTACGTCACCGCGACGAATTAGTGTTAATCAACTACAGACGTGGTAATGAACAAGCACCGCGAGCGATGCGGCGGAAGAGCCGCAGTGTGTGACTAGCTAACACAAACTCACGCGGGGACGCCTTGTGACCCGCTGCAGTTTTCCCCGATGCGGCGACACGTGAAGAGCAGCGCTTGCACGCCGCGGACTATTGTACGCAGGTGACACCTGAAGGGCGCCCGGAATCGATCCGCTTCTCGCCACCGGGTGAGAAACGTGCTCGATGTGTCGCGAAAGCTCCGATATCGTATCTGGCCGCGATCCACCGCGGGTGGATCGACCCTTCCGATGCAGAAGAATCCTCCTATGCGTCCTCCTTCTATCCGGAATGTCGCTCGGCAGCGATGCCAGAGGTGAGCACTGCTGCTCTCGACGAGATAAATCTCGTCTCCATTTTTCGAAATTTTTTTTTTTTCCACACTACTCGATAGGATTTAACTTCCAGTTTGCCCGAATTATTTTTTTAAAGGACACAGATAGAATTTTCTCTCTTAGAATTTTATCCTGAAAATTGTGGTAATCGTGGGATGGTGTTGGAAGAATTGAGAGTTTCTCCGATTAAAATATTTACTACAATATAAAATATTAATATGTACATATAGTAAAATTAATCGAATATTTTATATCTTAATAAGATATTAATATTTTTCTAGTGATAAATATTTAATCAGAGAAACTCTTATAAAATTCTTCCAATGCCATATTATTGTCCTATGATTACTATGATTTTCAGAGTAAATTTTAAGAGAAAATTTTCTCTGTGTACAGAGCTTATTTAGAATAGGACCATTATTTTGAAGCTACATTAATTGATAAATAAAAAAATAATATAAAAGAAACATAACAGGAGATTTAACTCTCTACTTTTCCAAATTAATTTTGGATTGTTCTATAAAAATTGTCTAACAATAAGATAAAAAAAATTTGAAAACTACTTTCTATATACATAGAATTCAACTTCTGGTTCGCCAAAATTATTTTTTTAAAGAATACACAGAGAGAATTTTCTCTTAGAATTTATTCTGAAAATCATTGTGGGACAATATGGTATATTGGAAGAATTTTATAAGAATTTCTCTGTGTGTGATTAATATTTATAATATAAAATATTAATATGTACATAGTAAATTTTACTATAGTAAAATTAATCGAACATATTTTATATTTTATTGTGGTAGATATTAATATTTTTATTATGGTAAATATTTAATCAGAGAAACTCTTATAAAATTCTTCCGATGCTTCATATTGTCTTACTATGATTTTCAGGGTAAAATTTAACAATAAGAGAAAATGCTCTCTGTGTACAACAACCGTCTAGAAATACAAAGCTTATTAGTAGAAAAGAATATTATTTTGAAGTTACATTAGCTGACAAATAAAAAATAATATAAAACAAGCATTGCTCTCAACATACTTTTCCAAATTATTTTTGGATTGCTCTTTAAAAATTGTCCAATTGTAAGATAGAAAATTTGAGAACTACTCTCTATATAGGATTTAACTTCCGATTTGCCCAAATTATTTTTATAAAGGGTGCAAAAACTGTCGAAAGATACAGAGCTTAAAAGAAGATTTAACAAATGAAAGATAACATAAAAATAAAATGAAATGTGGCAGAAAAGTAGTTTATTGCTTGCTATCTTATAAGCTAAACGATTTATAATTCGGAGTACAGTTTTATTTATGTAGGAATGTACAGTATGAATTTATGTATTGTATAATACAGGAAATATTGAAAAAGTAAAATATACGGATATTAAAATACATGCATACACTAAAATATACGGCGCGTAAAATTATAAATCGAATTTTCTCACGAATTATAGATCGTAAAACGGGATTTAAAATAGTATTATTCATATTAAAGAAAAATCGCTACAAACAAAAAAAATAGAATTAATAAATTTATACGTTGCATTATTATACTATTTCAATTCACTAACTATAACAAACACATATTAAATTTTACATTAAATTATGGAATTACGAAGAATCAGTAATTTATTTCAAATAGACAATACTTCAACGCAATTGTAATATAATTGTATGTAATATACGCGTAAACATTTAAAATTATATTTCGAATATTAATACAGTATCATATTAAACGTGAAAACAGAATTCACTCATATATTATTTAAAAGATAAAAAGCATTTTGTATTTTTTAATTTGCATGATGTTTAGTTCTCCTTACGCTTTATTAACGACAGGCTTATTCTACATTTATTAAATATCAAAATTGCAAATAAAAAATTAAATATATATATATATATATATATATATATATATATCAAAATCATAATGCAAATAACGTTACACGCACACAGATAAATTTTTAGATTTTATTCAATTGTATGTGAGAAGAAGTATTACTAATTCTAAGTTATATTAATAATTTTCGTTGTTTTTTTAATTTTACAAATATAATATTTTATTTCTATTTATCATCAATGTAAAGTGTACAAGAGACACAATTAGCTTCTTTTTCTAATGTGGAAAATTTTACATCATTATCTCATTTTTGTATAATAACACTTTTTGCTATAAGAAAAAGACTTGCGCTCACTATTTTAATCATCCTCTTGCAAAATTGTTTTTGTCATAATAACGTCAGCAATAAATGCGCAGACGGATCTCTTAGGAAAATGCATACACAATTGAATATCAGATCTAAAAAGCTTCATCTCTAATTAAGTCGGTTCACACGCGCATCAACGACAATGAGACGCTCATTCAGGTCAAGCGACCTGACGAGATATCTTTGTCCGCGACGAAGGAAAATAATGCATAATTAATTTGTTTAATGAGATCTCGAAAATTACCATACATAGCGACTTGAATAATGAGCGCGAGAGATCCTTTTAGAGTCTCTTCTCAAATCTAAAATTTTATTTTCCTCCCGACTACCTCGTGACGCTCGAAACGAAAATTTTTGCATGTTATAAAAATACGTCAGCTCGTGTTGAAACAACAATGTTTATTTTATATTTATTATTGGACAGTTTATTATAGACGCTTCACATTTATATTTTCCATTAATTAATTTTTTCTTATTCATATTTTTTGGAAAATCTGATATTTGCGATAGACTCTTGTTCGATGGGACGATTGAAGACTTGACTTCATTCGCCCACGTCACTTCCAAGGAGGAAATCGATGTATTAAATTTTTACGTGGCTGCGCCATGGAAACCGCAAGCAAAAAGGAATTGCGTTACGCGGATTAAAGGGACTACCTCGTCAGACTAATTAACGTTGCGAAGCATTATGACGCCAGTCGTTGATTGTTACCATGGAGCTGTTAAAAAGCTGTGATTCGATCGCGCCGTTTCATTTCACGATCTCAATTTACTTGTTGAGTAATTCGAACCGCAAGAGAGAGAGAAAGACAGAGATGGAGAGCGAGAGAGAGATAATGATGATAAAACGGTGTATAATCTCTCAATTTTACTCCGTGAAACACGTCGACCGTAACAAGTGTGTACAGTTACAGTAATTCATTACAGTAACCTGGACCGCTACAATGTTTCTCGCACGTGGCCCGCTAATTAGCTCTTTAATTATCTAACGATCTATTGCTATTATAATTTTCTTGAAAGTTGTCAACTTTAAATTTTTAATCGCTCATATTAGGATTTTTTAATAAATAGGAGTTTTTGTTATTGATAAACATTTATAAAATTATATATGAGAAGATCTATAATCTTATCTATATAAAAAAAATTTTTAATTGTATTTTATTAATATATAAATTAATGATCCATTATTTCCTCCTCATTTTTAGAAATATCCTATATAACATCATTGCAATGCATCTGAAATCAATTATGTCTACCTACTTATTATCTTTCTCTTCCATAATTACTGAATCTTTTACGTAAAAAGAAGAAGTAGTAGAATATTCCATTAAAATAGATGCTACTAAAAGTTTCAGCGAAATATTGCAAGTATTAATAATAATTTGTGCAACTATGAGATTAAGAGCTAAATTAATTTATAGTTACAGCTTATATTTCCTGCATATTTTCTGTGTGTATATAAAATTATATCTCTCTCTATCCACAAATATTGCATCATGCAAGAAATGTCATATACGTTTATCTCATAATAGTATGTCTTCTCCATAAAAATCTGCGAAGGGAAATATAACTTTCAAATGTTTTTAGCGAAAATTCTTCGATATTGGTGACTACAGTTCCGCACCATATACGCGGAAGCGTATCTTATTCTTATGCATGAAGTATATCCATGCATCGTGAACCGAAACGATGCGTTATATTACAATGGGAAATGGTGAATTGTTAATTTAAATATTATTATTTTTTATTTTTTTTTTTTTTTATTTTTTTTTTTTTATTTTTTTTTTTTTTCAAATTACACAAAACTCAGGAATGATTACACGTGGAAAATAAGTCGTTCTGATGGAATAAATTGCATTATGACGAAGAAAAAACGTTCCTTTACAAAGGAGAGTCCGCTACTTCCGCCCTCAATGCAACTTAATTCTTAAGTGTGTGATAATATTCATATATAGAATATAGTTTTATAACCTTTTATATTTTTACAGTTACTTTTATTCTGGTAATATTAAGGATAATTAAATCTCAGTATTATGGATATGGTGTTCTCATTTTCTAACAAAGTATTACAAAAGTTGAATAAGTATTTGTTCATAATCTTTTCAATTTAAAGCATTATTTTCTTCAAGTTTATGAGTGTAGAAAAACATTACAGTATTTCTTCGTATAATTTCTTTATTCACAAATAAATGCGTGGTTCATTTTCACATAATAAACAATGCATTTTGAAATGCATGTCACTGAGCAAATATAATACAGAAATATAATATTTTAATAAAATGCATGCGACTCTTTCCTATCGTTATTATTTCTCGGAAATATTATTTCAGTTCTTATTTATTTGATAATAAACTCATTGACATCATTGTGACAATGCATTATTTATTTTTTATAAGAAAACAATACATATTTATATGTATAAATCAAAGAATTACATGAATATTATAATTTCTACAAATAATAACTTGAAAAAAGTAATTCTTAAAATAAAAGGACAAGAAACGATTAAATAATTATTCGACTTTGGTGATACTTATTACAAAACAGAATATAGGCTATATAATTGAAGTTACTGTAGTACTGTTTTCAGCATTACTACAATATAAGAGCAACTGTAAAAAATGGTTGTTTAAAAACTGTCCAAATATATGTATAATGATAAAATAGCTTGAATAACTTATATACGATAAGATAAAAGTTTATATAATTGTTTATCACGAGAAGAATTCAAGGTTATCAGTTTGAAAAAGTTATAATTACACATATAAAAAAACATTTTCGCTCTTTTTCTCTGAGTTAACGCATTAAAATAATCTTAAAATACAGTGCAATTTTGCAAGAGATACGTGCATTCTACGTTTTTCTCATTGAACTGGTAGAAAGGATAATCTAAAAAGTGAAATCGGAAAATACGTCTGACATTTCGTTAGATGATCGTTCGGCGGAAAGTTGGATACGTCGTAATTTTCTTAGCATTTATGGAAGATTGTCGAGAAAACCGTTAAAGGAAGACCTAGAAGTGGGATAAATGAGAGTAGTAGTTTATTTACGCTAAGCGGGTCTAGATCAAGGCGAAATACGATTTGACAGTTAAGAGAACGCATTGCGAAACGCATTGAATATTTAACGGCTCGGAAAAAATACACGCACTTTCGGACTCGCATCACGAGTAGAAAAATATAGATTTACATGAATAATGCATACTCTGTATATCTAGCACAGAGTCTTTACATAAAAAGTATTTAGCGCAGTAATTAATTAATAGTAATTAATAAATAGTAATTAGTAAATAAAAACTATCATATTCGTCACACTTTCTCTCATCGAATAAAAATTCCGAGCGAATAAAATAAAAGAAATAAAGTAATAATATATAAACGTGACTAAGAGAGCTGTAGGATTATAACTGTATATGATTTTATTGCTACGTTATAACTGTATATATGTATATGGCAAATAGATTGTGCTCGTTGTATATGCGATCACTAGGTTTGGCACTATATATCGGCAATTGCAGGTAACGGTACGCCAGATGTTTATAAGATACTTGGAGGCGCGCGAACACGTCAAGAGGATTACGATTATTCGTATATGAATAATGATATAAAAGATGCAGGAAATCAGAGAGACGACCTTTACATCGGTCATAGCGGTGACCCCTGGAGCGCATCCTCGGCGCCTGATTACGACAATGATATCTATGTGCACGTGTCGTCGCAGCTGAACGCTACGTCAAATAGTACGAGAGCTCGAGCTATCACGTTAGTGTCGGATACGTAATTGCAATAAATAACAAAATTTCGTAATAGTAAAATGATACGAAGGTCGCATGATTTTTAGAAAGAGCGGCAAGGAAACGACAGGCCATACGAGATTCAAGAGAGGAGTAATACATCTCTACAACATGGTGGTATGCGCCACAGGATGTAATCCATTAGTTTACAAAGGATATGGTTGTTACTGCGGATTCCTAGGATCTGGTTATGTCATCGACGGCATCGATCAGTTTGTCATTTATCTATATACTTACACAGTAGGAAAATTTGTGTTCTCTTGTTAGAAACGGTCCCCGCGTTGTTAAAATTTTTATATTAAATATTTAACATATTGCTGTTGTGTTAATTGAACTTAAATGTTAAATTAAAACAACTGAAAAAAGATGTAAAAATAATACAATGTGCATATATTTTTAATGTTACGCAATAAACATGTTCTGTTTTATTAGCGACAAAATTTATCTGTTAAAAATTACAGAAAAAATGTTAGTTTTTTATTTTATAAGTGGGGATAATAAAATCTAAAATTAACATATTTTTATGTTAATTTTACACCAAATTTATTTTAAATTATTTGAAGTTTTGCCTTTATCTTGGGTTAAAATATTAACATAGTATTTGTGTCTTCATTTAATATATCCATATTATGTTAAATTAACACAAAAATTTTTGTAGACTATTTGGGACATGTGATATCTGTAAAATTTTAAATTTAACACAAATTTTTAAACTGTATAAAAAAATGTGCGGAAAAAACAAATATACAAATTTATAAAATGTTTCAGGTGTTGCAAAATGCACGATTGGTGCTACGATGCTACAGATTGTCCAATGTTTTCGACATATTTTGTACCATATTATTGGAGATGTTATCACGGTTACAAACCGGTTTGCGGTACGTTTATTGATTATCATTCAGTTATTTTTGCCGGATTCGATACAATTATTCTCGAGAGATTCTAAAGATCAGAATAATTTCAGTGCAATACTTCTTAACTTCCAGCCCAGCAGACTTGATTCATTTATATATTTTCGATGCGTATAATGTATAATAAAGTGAATCGATCCGTATAATGTAATAAAACGCGATAAGATAAAACAGTTCGCGCGTAAAATCTCTGTTACAGCGGTTGAACATGGAAGCTGGGGAGGATCGGGATCTTGCGCTCAACGTTTGTGCGAATGCGATCGCTCGTTAGCCGAGTGTCTGAGAAGATATCCTTGCCCTACCACCAAAGCAGTTTGTACCTCGTCACCCTGGAGACTCGTACAGAATCTCTTCATGATTATATAAATTATTACATTTCTTGGAAATATCAGTCAAAAGATAATTCAATGCAATGTGAAAAATGCGAAATATATCTACTTTATTTTGTAAGTTTTGACATTCGAGATATAAAAGCATTGCATGTGCAATTTTTGATTATTTATGTGTATTATATAAAAAATTAATTAATCAATTCAAAGACAGATATTAATATATTATTGATTATTATAAACGTTGCTTAAAGATAAAAAGGTCAAGAAATAAGTATCTATAAGATTAAAGAAAATACATCGTATATTTTATAATTACGAAATTTATTTACTATCGCAAATCATGTTGCCCTTAATATATAAAAATTATTTACATTGAACATTTAATAATTATGTTGTCCAAATACCTATAATGTATTTACACCTCCGGTCAAATGTACCGTTCTATTCTTATATCTCTTAGAAATGTCTTGCTCTATCTGTAATTAGATGCAGTATAAAAAGTAATGCAACTTTATCCGAAAGATATGTAGCATTCTGCGAGAGAATTAAGATAACATACCTCTATCTGCAGCTCTTTAGTTCTCTGTATGACGAGTTGTAATAATGGACGTAATTTATCGATTTGATTCTGTACATCTTCTTGCTTCTGTCGCATAGATTTTTGTTGAGCTATCATTCTATCAATCAGGTTCAATTTTTGCTTTAAAGTGGTAGTTACTACGTCCACGTATCTGTAATGATAATTAAAATATCACATGATCATTATATTACTATAAAAAAAATACTATATAATTCAAAATTTATTAAATATACCTCGGATAATGTTTGATGTTATGCAAATGCTGTACATTGCTATGTAATACCTCAGAAAGGACAATCTGAACATTGTCTAGCATATTCTGAGTGGTTTCTATGGTGGACAATTGCAGAATAGGCGAAGCATCCTGCATCTGACTGAAACTCAGAAGATTATTCCTGTCGTCGCCTTTGAATTCGTACAGACGTAACTTCATAAATGCCTCGAGCTATAACAATATTCATTTTATTCAAGTAAAAATGTAATGATCTTGTGTATATGACATATTTATATACTATACCTCAAATAATTGATTGATAAACTCCGATCTCGTTGTTGGATTATCCAGTACCGTATACGCTTCAGATTCTGTAGCTACACCACCTTCATGACCTGCTGCTTCCACGACTATACCCGATTCCTCCAAAGATATATTATAGTCTATTTCCGCCGCAACAGGTTGTTCTGCATCTTCGTTTCCCCAATCAATATCGCCTCCTGCATCCAAATTTACTTCTTCGCCAAAATCAATTTCTTGGTTTAAATCCAAGTCGCCAAAGTCAATAGTCTGTTAAAAATGTGATTTTTTAGAACGCGATCAGAATTTACTCGTCACAAGTACTCTCAAAAATATACATACATTGCTGTCCACATTTATACTAGATCTTTCACATTCATCTTCATCAGCTTTAATATTCAGTGGTGGTTCAATTATCGATGCTGGTACTTCTCCATAAGTATATTCAAACGTTGTTGTGTTTCCTTTCTCTGTGGAAAATATATTTAACACTATATCTACATTTTTGCTCTTTACTTGAATAGCATTAATACATTCTTAAAATAATGTAACCTACCAATTATATATTTAACCACAGACACACAGTTACTATCGTACTGTTGACCAAAAGTAAATTCCACAAATGCACTATAAAACTCGACAACCTTATTTAAACTCTTTGTCTTCTCCACTACTCTCTGATAAATTTCTGGCAATTCTTTGACTTTTTCCATCAATTCACGTCTAACTGTGCTGTAGCCAGTTATACCTAATTGTTTGCACAATGAGTTATATTCTGTATGAGCAATATTTTCTGATTTTTTATACTCTACTTCCTTCTTTTCTAAATCCTGCAAATATCATTTTATGCATAACATTTATACTCTGTGTGTGTGTGTGTGATAATAAATAAATTCTAATATTACATATTACATAAATACTTACAGTCATAGATTGCTCCAACTTTTGTATCTGTTTCTTAATACTAGGAACTTCATAGTTGACATTTCTCATGAGCATTTGTGCAGCTTCAGCAAGATATACATTATCCCTTTCGTACAATCGTAAAATCTCTTGCCAATCCTTCATTCTTTGTGAGCCATAACGTCCAAATAGATTTTTTGTGTCTGCTTCAGTTTCCTTCAAAATTTCCACAATTTTGACACAATAAAAATAATTTATATCTGTAAAAAAAAAACACAAGTTAAAGATTCAGCTATACCATATGTTTGTAGATAGTTAGAAGGTAATGCTTTAAATTTAAAAAAAATTACAAGCGCCAGATAACAATGATGCAATGCCATCATGAGCAGGCATATTCTGTATAGCATTATTAATTTTCTCTCTGATGGTCAAGACATTCGTATGCCAGTCTTTCTTGCAATGCCTCCGATTAATCAACCAGTCCAGTAACTTTCCAGTATTAATGTCGATTGGAATATCTTGTTCCTAAATAATAATTTGCACGTCAAAATTATTTACAAGATAAATTATAACAGATAGTACTTAAAAACAGCTATAAATGGTTAATTCAACGAAATGTTTACTTCAGAATTATCACATATTCATGTATGATTTAATAGCTCTGTTATATTTAAAATTTATTTTTACGACGAAATAATTATTTCCAAATAACACAACATTGCTTACCTGCATATTACTAAATCTTATTTCTATCTTTCAGAAATGTTTTTCTCTGATCGGAGTTACAGGTTATAACAGCTGTTTTCGTACCGCGTGTCAAAATGACAGTAGTAGACTCAATTGTCTACAACACCGGCTGTCTCCGTAACAGGAATGACACGTAGTAATAAAAATTTATAGGCATATAGATAATTAGAAAATATAAAATTAAAAAATTAAACTCCTCTTCCCAAATATAAAAATCAAGATTTTTTTTACGAGAATAAGAAAACAAAAAATTATTTGCCAGACGACTTTATTTAAATTATTTATTTAAATAATATTTAAATAAATAGAAAAAAATAAGGTAAAAAATAATTGAAAAATGAAAGAAGAAAAAATCGCAAGATTAAGAGATATAATTAAGATAATTAATAGAAATAATTAAGGATTTTTTTATTTCTATATATTGTAATTTTGTAGTAAGAATTTTACGATTTTTATAATCCTAAACAAAAAGCATATTGACGATTTCAGAACACATTGTACAATATATCGCAATATGCTACACATATTTCATTAATTTTTTTACAAAAATACTTATATATAAATTAAAGTACTTGTACATAAATTAAAAATCCTGTTGTATATTAAATTAAAAATTTGACAGAGTTACAAGAATGATTTTAGAATCAATGGTATAATAAACTGTAATTATTAGATAATATGCCTGAAAACTTTTGGAGAAAACAAATATGTAGACTGTTTAAAAATATATAAACTGTTGATGATCTCACTTGTTTCCACACAGGTGGACGCGCTTATCAAATAACGCACATACAGCAAAAACATACACGACACCTGCCACGTATGAAAAAAAATATCTGCAATTACAGTCTGACATTTGTGCCTATTTATACTAACAATGACAATTAGAAAATAATCTTCTAAACGAATAGAACCATCGTTTTAAATTGAAAGAAAGAAATAAATAAAATAAATTTATTTATTTATTATAAATAAAATCAATTTATTTATTTAAGTAATTTCTACCTGAATTGGTGCTTCAGATAAATAATGAAAGGCGCGACAAGAAACAAAAGACGGGAATTAATCAGATCGCTGGACGATACAAACGTAATACACACAAGTATCTTTTAATTTATTATGTTACACATTCACAGTAAGAAAAACATGATGTCCATGTCCCCCTCAATATCCTATTATTATACTGTCTCTGCCAATATAAATACAACTTGAAAGTGTCCATCGGAAGGGGGATGTGTAAGAATTCTATTGCTTGCACTTATCCCTTCTGATCGCTCCGAGTTGTATCAGCACCCGTTGCCGATGTCCTTGACCTCGGCATAAATTAGTATCCATAAACGATACATATGTTCACGATTCGCGTGAGGATGTAGATCACCTTGTGCTTCTCACCAGCTCTTTGGATTCTGATCGCGGATCCTCTCAGCAAAAGATTCGGACAAGTTCACGATTGAATGTTCCGCTGAGAGAACATGCAGGTTTGACATATTACCGGCGAACATTACGATGGCACTTTGACCGATCATAGAAAAAAAAACGTCACGAGGACGATTCGATCGATGATCGTCTACCTCGATCGTGAACGAGTTTCTCCTCTTTTTCGTTACCTCGCAATCACACTAATAACTTTGACGACCCGTACGATCCGTAAAGAAGTTCTTCACAAGTAATACCTGCCCCACGGAGATAACCAGAATACAACATGTCTCCATTACCGACCACCAAAGCACTTGTTCATTGAGTTCTTCTGCACGTTTGCGACCTTGCGCTTCACGTAGACGATGATGCGTCTGATAGTCCAAGATGTTGATTAGATTCTTGTGCACTTCCTGCGCGGAAGACTCCATCTATAAGAATACTGATATGTGAGATACTATTCTCCTTGATACGTATCATGAAAAAGTCTGTGCCAAATATAATTTACCTGAGTCATTACTGTAACATGTTCTCCAAGACCAGGAAGTGGCACATCATCGCCAACTTGGAAATCCATATACACAAGCTTATGTGAGAATGTAGAGAACTCATTACTGAAGCAGGCCTTGTACACTCCAGACATAGTCGGTATAAAGACGTGTGAATCAAATTGTGTCTTCACTTGCTTATAGATGATCTCTTTATTTGGAGCCTCTAAAGTTACGTCTACATCGTATTGGCCACCTGTAACCACCTAAAAAAAACAAGAGCAATACTTATTATTTTACAAAATTCAAAGACATTATTATTATACAAACTAATTATATAACATCTAATAGAATCTGTGATACTAATAAAACTGTTATCGATTCTCATTAGCATACAAAAGTTTCCTTCAATTTTTACAGAGAACATTCATATAAGGCATATTCGTTTTGCATTGTTTTTTCGCCTTCTAAACTTGCATGCGAAGAAAATACAGCTACAAACACTTATGTCAAGAAGCCAGAATTTATCATCGATTCAAATACATTTTTACTGAAAAAATAAAATTGTATTCTCTATTACATTAACACCCACACACACGTTATATTCCTTTCTGACATTGGCGTTATTCCTACTACATTTTATTCGCATTATCTCTCATTCGTTCATTCAATTTACAGCCACGCGGACAGTCTGTCTGAATTGCGCCGCGAACTCTGGCCTCCGATAATAGCGATAATACGTGTCATCGCGACGTAAAAAATTACGTATACATTTAAACGTATAAATATATATGTATACGGCGATTGACAGCGATCAGCTGATTAACGCACTTGAAACTCTAACGTGGACGAGACGTTCTTCTCGATCTCCTGGTAGAAGCACTCCTTGGCGTTGTCGGCCAGCTCGAAGGTTAACTCGACGCCACCCGTGAGCAAGAGCGTGCCGAGCAAGGAGGCGAGCAACAGCCAGGCCGACCAGCAATCCATCCTTACGTCAGTCAGTTCACTCTCCTGTCACAGCTGATCGGCGCGCATTTAAAGATCCTCGTCGAGCGAAGAAGTGCACTTTCCACCCTTTCGACGACGTCGTCGGTCCCTTCTTCACGAGAGCTCCCCGGCGAAGGTTTCTCCCGCAAACAAGCTATTTTAACGTGGCCGGAAGTCGATCGCAGCGCCGCTGACATTCACCGGGAGCGCGACGCGCAGCTGCGGAAGTGGCTGCGCTCACGTCACGGCGCGCAGATATGTTCACGTTGAATCGCTCGAGGATTCACTTGCCATTTAAGTAACACCTGCTTTTCTTCATTTAATTACGAAACTTTAACTTATTGCCCTTCGCTCGAGCGAGTTAATTAAAGTTTGATGGAAGAATTTGTAGTTTCGTCGATTTAAGTCAGATCGAATTTGTAAATCATTCGAATCAGATTCACTACTACTTAAGGTAACCTTAATTAATACGGCGGTAGTAAAGCATAGTTTTTCATGATCTTGTGACTATGCATTTTTCATCAAAAGAGCATAAAGTTCTTAATTTGTATCGTTTGAGTCTACTTTTAGGTAATACAGCATCTTTTTCTGTGCGTATTGAATATTTTAGAAATAATATATATATATATATTTCTCATAAATTCAGTTATATTAAAATATTAATCGAAATATGTCGATTGCGATATATATACGATAATATCACATATATTTTGTTTATACTAACAAAACATCAGACAGATAAAAATGCTTGAAGATATACATATATTATTTAAATGTCTCTTCTGCTTATATATATATATATTTTAAGGTATATTAATGCTTATTTTTTGCGAAATTACACGTTGATGGAAGAAACCTATGAATAATATAACGAATAATATCACAATAATTGATATATGATCGTAATTTTTTTTTTTTTTTATTTCAGTGACAAATTTATGGAGTATAACAAAGAATTGAGAGAAGAAAACAGACTCTTTAAACATCTGCATATGCATTCAATTTTCACTGGACAATATAGTGATCAGCTGTCATACATCGGCATTTTTACTTCCGGTTTCATTCACATAAACCTCGGTAAGTTAATATCATAACAAATGAGGTGGATAAGTTTAGGCTTATAAAACTAATAATAATAATATTTTTTTGTTTTACAAAATGCGTTGCGAGAAAAAGAAAGAGAGGATATATATATATATATATATATATATATATGTATGTGTTATATAGTAATCAGAAATTCCCGTCACGTTTTCCGCCGCATGTACTAGTAGTTATATATTTAATTATTGACGAGAATACAAAGTACTAGCTTCCTTTCTCGTGTGTCACGGGGTCCCGCGCAATTCGCTAAATATTAAATCTTCGTGGTAACGCAGGAAGGAAACGCACGTGCATTAAAGCAGGAAGACGCACAAGAGAATATGCGATGAAATTACCTTCCTGTCTACTTTAATACATGCCTCTCTCCTTTCTTACCACAAAGGTTTAATGTTTAGCATCTAGAAGAGACTGTTTATAGCAGGTCAAGAAAGTTACACGGACACATCGTCGCCTTTTTTTATCGTATCAACAATCTTGACATGAATCATCGCATTCTAATCGCATTCTTCTTTTTAATTTCAGAAAGACTTTCCAATGAAATTGGAATTCGAGGCTCACAAATGAAGATATATCTATATATATACCTGGATAACTTGTTCAGGAAAGATTGCTCCAAAAATTGATGGGAAAATTCGTCGTTAATCCTTGTCCAGATCGCAAGTTATGGAACACCCTGTAGAATGCAGTGACAAATATATATACCAGCATAGTTCGAGGTATGTGTATGTATAAGTGTATACGTTGCTTCTGTAGTTGTGAGGCGCCCTTTGGAGCCGCCCATCGGTCTCGTGCGTCATGTCTCGGTGCGCGACGACGACGGCGAAGGTGCGTGTCGAAGGACGGCGAGGGAGAGTGCTCGAGAAAAAGTGAGGGCTCTTCTCTTGAAAGGACCCCTCTCATCACGATTGGAATCCAGCGACCGGAGCTCAGAGTCATATATTGCACGCGTTGATGTTGCCTTAAATTAATATGCGCGTAATACAGATGTACACTATATAAAGCTGAATGAACCTTCTGTGTACTTTAATAACGGGACACGCGTAAAACACGCGTGCGAAAATATCGATGAGTTGTGAGTAATGTAATCGAATTATTTTAATTTTGTTTTTTTTTTTTTTTATTTTATATTATATAATTGTATTCTCAAAAAGAAGATGTTCTTTAAAAATAGACAAAATTGCGTAGAATATACACGTCATTTATCTTGTTTCTTATATATAAAAAGAATGCAACGTATGTAATTTATATTTTTGTCTTCAAACTTATATATGTATATTATCATATACATAAAAATTAAACCAGAATCAAAAGACTTAAAAAGAAGGAATCAAATTATATAAATAACATTGTATAAAATTACATAAAATTATACATATTTCTCATTTAAAAAAGACGCAACGTGTGCAATATATGTATACTATGTCTCCAGATTTATTATAATCATACGTGAAAAAAATTAACCCAGGATATCGAAAGGATTAAAAAAATCGAATGATATAAATATCATTGCATGGGCAGATCGATGTTTTTTTTTTTAAATAATTCTTAAACAAAAATGCGGTTTATTAGGGTTCTCAATCCGATCACGAAACGTGCACGGCGCCAGCCGATGCGGAGTCGAAGATAGTAACACGACACCGAAGGGTTTCTCCTCGGCGAAGATTAACCTCCAGCGCGGCAGCGGATGGCGACGGGGTGGCGGCAGTAGGATGGGGATAGGGGGGAGGAGAGAGGAGGCAAAGCGGATCGTGACGGCTGCATGAAACGCGGCGCGCCACGAGTTTTCGGACGGCAGCGGCGCGAGACGGGTCTCTTTCTCGGCGCGCTCTCCTCTCGTCGTGTTTTCAGACGCGTCTCTCTTTTTTTTTTTTTTTTTTTTAGTTTTGTTTTCCTCGCTTTTTCGCGCGCGGGTGATTTCTCTCGATTCATCTCGATCGTGCATGTTGTTTCTTGTGCGAGTGATCGCAGTGGCATGTTTTTCTTCTTCGTGTTCTGCAAGATACTGTGACACAGTGTATGACCTGTCCGTGACCCTCATGGCCATCGCGGACACCTGTAAGGTAACTAATTTCCTGAAAGTATATGTATGTGTGAGCGATACAGTATCTCACAAAAGTCTATCAATATCTGAAATTAAAGATTCTGTCGCGTGGTAATTTAATTCAACATAGTTCTATGTTCTTTGAAAACATTTCGAAAAATCGTAGTATATTTTTTTGGTCGGTTTAGTAAATATTTGCTTATAGATTGCAGAGCTTTAATCTCGATTGCACATACTTTTTTTAAAGATACGAGGTTTTACGATCTCATTCTCAGAGGAAAGAAAAAATTACATAGTTGAAAAATGTGTGTTTTTAACAAATATCAAATGTCCTAAACGATCCACAGAAATTTTTGTGTTAATTTAACATAATATGTTAAATAGTGACACAAATATTATGTTAATATTTTAATATAAAATAAATGCAAACTTTAAATCAACTTAAAATAAATTTTGTGTAAAATTAATATACATAGTTTTAATATAAAAAAAAGGTTAATTTTACATTTTGTGATCCCTAATTATATTATAAAATAAACATTTTTCTGTCAATTTTAACAGATGAATCTTATCACTAATACGAAACATATTTATTGTGCAAAATTAAACATTATGTTATTTTTACACTTCTTTCAGTTGTTTTAATAATTTATTATTTAAGTTCAATCACAACAGCAATATGTTAAATTAACACATAAATGTGTTAAATATATTTAACACAAAAATTTTAATCGGAGTCGTTTTTAACAAGAAAACACAATTTTTCAATTATGTATATTAGGAAGATATAAAAAGTACAATTACAATATAATTTCGAAATTAGCGCATATAAGTTTAAGATAATCATTTTATAAATGAAATAGAGGAAGAAAAATATTTTATATCTCAATTAATTCTTCTATATTCCATATTATTGACGTATATTTATAAATCATATGAAAAAAGATCATAAAAGAATGAACAATTGAGAGAAACATTAGACTCTCTCGACGTTTTAAATTATTGGCGCTCTTTCCAGACTGTTGGTATTTTATAATAATGGACCGTGTTGACCTAAATCAAACTTTCCGTGAATTTTACCGTCATTATTGGATTTCCCTTTATTGGCTTCTTACAGCTCGAAAACAATTCCGCGCAAATAAAAATGTTAAAAAGCACAGCCTTTATATCGCATACTTGTGCTGCATTTGATAAATATTTTTAAAAATCGTAAATATATATAGATGCTATTTTGATTATATATAAAATGAACATTATATATAATATTGTATAGAATATTATATATTTATTTTATAACAGCGTTTCTTCGCTTTATATTTCTTTAATTAAATCAGCTTTTTGTTATATGTTGTAGCTTATGACTTGCTGAACAAAAATGTAATAACTGCAAAGATAAATAATGAATAATTACTGAATTACAACTAGTCAAACAACTCACAAAGTCCAAGTTCTTCATCTTTGACTAATTGTAAATCAGTAACTGTCTATTGTTTAGCTTTGAGCTTATTACATTTTTGATTCAGTAGATTATAAGCTACAACATATGAGAAAACCAGCTGATACCGAAATTTAATTTTATCTTACATTTCATATAAATTAAATCTTGTATAAAATTTAATCTTACAATAGTAAAATTTGCTGGTTTTCTCATATGTTGTAGTTTTTGATCTATTGAACAAAAAATAGACTCAAAGCTAAATAATCGATAATTATTGATTTATAATCAAACACGAAAAATTTGGGCTTTGCGAATTGTTTGACTGGCTGTAACTCAATATAATTATTCATTATTTATTTTTACAACTATTACATCTTTTGTTTAGTAGTAGGTCATAAGATACAACCTATGAAAAAGCCAGCTGATTTAACTGAAATATACTTTTACATAAGATTAGTGCAGAGTATTTTGCACAAATTTAAACGTGATTTTCCGTTGAAACCAGTAGGAAACAAATTAACATATGTACATCTCAACACGTAATTCTAGCGGATATATTTCAATAATTTCGTTTTATGTAACGTCTCTCGTCAAT